GCAACTACCATTATGGTCTCTCAAGCCATATGAGCTTTGAGCTGCTATGATATCTGCCACGGGATGATCCGCGACACTAACAACACGGCGAGCTATAACCATCAATGGTATCTTGTTGTAGTTTCACGTCCTTACACTCATGGATCTTAACCTTCAAATATCCTACGCGATACTGAGCACTTTCGTAACTCCCGTTATCAACAAAGTGTCGGTGAAAATCAAAGGTGTCACAAAAGTGATCTCTGACCATCGGCCGGCGCCATAACAACAGCTGAAAAAGGTCCTAAAACTAATGGCAAGGCAATCTATCAAGGATACAGAAATTGGTCGATAGACATTGGTGAATTTTAGCAAAAGCATTTGCAATTGTAATTGATAAGAGGTTGGCGAATGACGACATTTTCCACTAGTCAAGAAGGCGCTTGAATAAAGCAAGTGAAAGATAACTGAAAATCAAACGTGTACATATAAATCATAATTAATGCTAAGCTCAACAATGGCCAGTTTATGTTAGCAACATCGTAAGCAGGGTTTCCCCAGTTCATTTTGGTAACTTGCAGCCACAAAGCATCATGAGCAATGTCCTCCGCGGCCGTTAAAGAGCGTGCTTTCCTGTGAGACTCTATTTGACATTTGAGTGCCACTTCGATCATATCATCAAAGCTTAAAAACATTGCACCTCAACAAGACATACATTAGGCCATGGACCCGTATTTCTGATCCATCCTAATGACTCTCGTCTAGATCTTCTGTTTTGAGCGCTTGCTAAAATGTTAGAGTAAACAACCACCCTTTTTCTACTCAACGGATGACTTTCTTTCTGGTTGTTAATAAGCTTTACTATGTAAGCCGCCATGCTAGTATCACTGCGTATGTCACAACTAAAGTGTACAGCACCGCTGCCTTCAATCTATGTAAGCAAACCGCTTGAATAGTTCTATTCTACTCCAAAGATGATGACTCAATTTGAGACTTTCTGATAGAAAACAACACAGATTCTTTAAATCTAAGAAAGATTTTTCAAGTTCCTCATCCACACAGATCCAACTTTTTTTGCTCTTAACCCTTCGGTGATGGTGCGTGATGTGGTGGTTTAATATTGCCCTGTGAGCATGTGCTGTTAACAAAACCATAACGCTTGCGGCCTTATGTTAATTATTATTTAGAGCCAGGCGATCAATGTACCATATCTAAGGCTTCATTAAAATCGTGGAAGATGTTGTGAATGACCTTGATATGGAGTATCGACTACATGTTCTGGCAGCGATATATGATGCTGAACAGGGGTCAAAATGACAGATTCCTTGAGGCGATCTCTGCTTGACCTGTACACAGCAACTGTAAGCTATATTTTACCTCTTGACAACCGCATGCATCAGGCTAGAGATTTTTTAAGACGATCCACTCATCCATGCCTCTGTTACGAGCATCATCTGCAATTACTACTTTAGGTGGCCAGGTGCAAGTGTTAATTATTGCTGACATCAAGGCACCCTCAGAACTTTTTCCAGTGAGGTTTAGGGATGTAGGCCAACACATGTTTAGAGGTGACATCAGTGAGGAGGAGGAGTGCCAACCTTACCCTATGTGCTAGCGCCCATGGCAAGAATGATAACTTACCGTTATGTTATATTAAAGCAGAAGCAAAACATAGTAAATGATGAGTGTGGCTTCGGAATCGAAGAATGAACCCACACACATGCAGACGGAACTGATGTTACAATCAAATTTTGAACTTACACAAGTGCAGGAGAAAACGACGGAAACAACAGCTCGACGATAAAATAGTGTGATGCTTTCTTATGCTCCTTTATTCGGTCTAGATTTGGAGGGTGGCATCACGCACGCCTTATTATTCGGTTCATCTTAGCAACCGCTAAAACAGGTAAACTCCACACAACAGTAGACCTAGAAGAGCAACAGGCGTCACAATCTCTATCAGCCACTATTATTAATATAGAATAGTAGTCTTGCAGATGAGCAAATTGCATGTTTATATATAAATACCACCTTACGCTAAAGACTCTGAAACCTCCTTTACAATGGAAACGAACGCGACAGACTTGATTATGGCATACGATGATCGGCAAACTATAGGTAAAAATGGAACTGGCTGAACACGCAGCAGATGCCGTTACAATGGACAATGCCAAGTATCTCTTTGCCAAGTATAAAATACAGTTGAGCTGTAGCGATGATAGCGTGCAGCTTTGGCAAGACATTATACATGCTAAACCGTACGTTAACCTAGTATCACCTTTGGTACCTTGGGTAAATCCTGGAATGTTGTTGGCTCTCTGAGTGGGTTCGAGAACTGCTATCATTTTGTGGCCCTAGTGAAGTAATGAGGCTCACAGAAAGGTGCCCTAAGAATAACATTCGTGTTACATCCGTGTGGGCTACGCCTGCTATGGTAGTCTCAGCTATAAGGTGGGCGGTAGGTAACGTGGAGAAACGACTTCTTTCAGGTGCTGTGGTGCCAAGCCTTGAGATATTCCAGGTTTATTACAACATAACAACTGATCTTGTCCCTATGTATGTATGTATGTATGTATGTATGTATGTATGTATGTATGTATGTATGTATGTATGTATGTATGTATGTATGTATGTATGTATGTATGTGTATGTATATATATATATATATATATATATATATATATATATATATATAATTATATATGTATATATATATATAAATATTTATATATGTATATATATATATATGGCGAATAGCAATCCTTTCAAGCGCACGGGATCCAGCAAGGGATCACGTGTGTCAGGGATTGATTAAAATAGATGCAATTAACTGACGACGAGCAGTGCGAAACTAGTAACTAACTAGCCTTAGTTAGTTACTAGTTTCGCACTGTTCGTCCTTAGTTTATTGCATATATATATATATATATATATATATATATATATATATATATATATATATATATATATATATATATATATATATATATATATATATATATATATATATATAATACATAGATAGATAAATAATAGGGCCTCGATTTGACCGAGTGGTCTAAAGCGCTTTACGGATCACTGCTATCACACCTCTGTGTCTGAGTGGGTTCGAGTCTCGAGCTCGACCAAAGTGAGTATGTACAAAAGCTTACTGGTAGCTTTTCTTAAGTTGCTGGTTCATTCCAGAATCTTCCCGGTATCTTCCTCCACAAGTCATACCGGCCGCACTAGAGATAAAATACATATCTAGGCATTCGGAAAGGTTTCAACGAATTTGAGCTCTTGGTTTGATACCTTTGAAATCAAAATTACAATTTCGTTAAACAAGTTATATTTACATTTCAATCAGGCTTACGTAAAGAGACACGGTGCCACTAACTTCTTCCCTAATAAACCGCATAGTGGTCAAATATGATAGTTAATTTGAATATTTTGGAATTCCACATGAACATATGCTCAGACATGTACGTCGTGCCCTATTCGAATCAATTGTATCCCATTCAAAACTGCGAGTTTACTTATTAGCTTTATTTACATTTCTTCCTCTCACATTTCTGTCCCACATTAACTCGCCTAGCAATAAACGTGTGATAGACGCTTTCTTCAATATACTAGGCAAGGTAGAACACATTACGAGGAGCTACAACTCTACCCCGCGACAACCCTTCGTTGTGCATAGAGCGTGATTACAGTCAATTGTATTCGAGCTTTTCAGCTGTATTTCTATAGCACCTGTTTATTATTGTGTTTGCCATTAGTTTGCGACTTGTCGGTCAACGATACTGGTTCAACACGCTTATTACTCACTCAAGGTAAGTTATTTTACCTATAGTTTGTGTATCGTTGTCTTAGAAGAATCTATGTCCGAGTCATTAGTTAGATACCGATTGCCTTAGATTGTAAGAAAATGTCAAGATCTGCAAATTCGAGGAAAATGGAGCACATTGATGTTCACATATTGTTCCGGGTACGTGACTACGGTGAATACCTGTTCATAAATAGCTCTGTGTATAACCCATTCAGACTACTTTGGGAAAGGTGGGCGGCGATAGCTGAGTGTAACGAAGGTATTGTTTGTTTCTTCTGTAACTAACATAACCTCCAATTATAGTTGTTTGTGTTTATGTTTGTTTTATTTGAGTTTTTTTATTTAGCATCAACTTTCATATTATAAATATGGTCAAAATAAATGAAGCAGATTTGTAAGGAAGTCCGCCGGCAGTAATGTATATAAATTTGTTTGGGAATACACCAGTGCCGGATTAAACAGTGAAGGCTCCTAGGCAGTCGAAATCTAAGGGCCCTTTTCTTAAATTATCTCCTAATACGTCAAGATCAAATCGATTCGATATTATTTTAACCCGTTATTTCGGGGCCCTAAAAAGCTTGGGTCCCATAGGCCAGTGCCTACTGTGCCTATTTGATAATCCGGCACTGGAATACACGTTGAGAGAGGGGCTGGGAGTTGGCAGCTATGGTGACTATTAGTGAGATGTAAAATAAGAGTTTTGGTCGCCGTGAAGGGGGGTGGGCTGTGAAAATGTATACAACAGTGTAACTGAGCGCAAATATTAGTTGCTTGTGATATTTTTAATCACAAATGGGGTTTTCCCATACGGTCATCTAAATGACACGTGTCATTAAAGCAGACAATCACAGTTGTTCTTTGCGTAATTGGGCTGTGGTTGATTCCCAGATATGCGATATATACAAGATCGCATACACCACAATTTCAGTAAAATTTATTTTTTCAACAAAAACATAAAATCAGATTTGTGAAGAAATAGAAACTGAACATTTAGAAACTTTAGACGGAATGTAAGCTTGTCTAATTGATTATACTAATTAAAGGTCTACAATGTCTGTAATTAATTACTTGAGCATGCGAAATTTTCCTTCCGGCAATAAGAATTAGTTATTTTTTGTTCTGTTGATTATAACTGCAGTTCTAGCACATTATTGCCTAATTATACCAAAGAAATTGTAACTAAATGCCTTTCCTAAGAACACGTCAAGGCAGCCGATCCTGGCTGGTCTGACTGAGTATCAAACCTGCGACCCTTAGATTGCGAGCCTGACGCTTTACCAACTGAGCTACCACTGCTCTCTTTGATATGTCCATTAAAAAGGGATGAAAATGCCGTTAAAAACAAGCAAATGACATTTTTTGTGCGAGCTTACTACTACAAGTAAATATATCAACAAGTTCACATTTATGACAAGTCCGATGATAATGTTCCTAAATTTTAAATTTGTAATAGCATGTTATTTTGAAAGAACTACAGAAATCATAAGTTGTTGTTCAAAACACTTTACGTTAAACTTATTTGTTGAAACTAAGCGTAATCATTTTCAAAAGAAGCAATTACAGGTACAGTAATATTTGTCATCCTATGTGAAGTGTAATCGAATCATTTTATCAAATTAATAGCTTTTTTTCCAACTAAATAAAGCTTTCATCGTTGTGAGTTGGGGGGGAAGACTCCAAGCGATTTTAAGGGTACATGGAACAATATGACCGTCTATACTCCCTTATAAGAGCTATCTAACTATAAAGTATACAGCCCCATATATGCTGTCATACAACACACCGATATAGCTGAATCAGTGAAGTTTGTTAGAAGAAGTCAATAGATAAATATCATAGAACCCAATTTGCAAATGCATTATGCTACAACACGTGATCTTTGTTGTTTGTAGTTTAACTCGGCTTATAAGTGAGTACAGATGATAGGAGTTTATTCATTGGAGCTCAAGCGTTACCTCAACCGCAGCGATCTGTCCTTGCTAAATTTTTCGTCCTTTCTTGCTGCTATTAAATTATGGGAGTGTGAGAACTAAACTACAACAAAATCAAAAATAGCATAGAAGGAGTCCCGATGCTCATACATGTTGTCTTTTGAGTTAATATCTCTCGGTTTGTTTTGTATTGTCTTTCTTATTTTGTTTGTCTTTGTGTGTTCTTTTTTCAGCTTACTAAGTGATAATGTTGGACATAAGAGATTGTCTAAAAAAAAGTTCTAAGTACATTTCTTCCTGAGGTTTTCCAGGGTTCTTCCTCCACCATTATTACTGGCCACCATGTATAGCCTATCTTGTGCTGAAAAATGGCGTTAAACCCTACAACAACAATAATTTTCTAAATCGTTATTTGACGAGAAAAGAAAAAATTACCGTAGGGCATCGATTAACCCCAATAGGGTCTGTCAATACTAATGTTAGACCTAAGAGCTGGAACTTATCTTGTATGCATCCGTAAATAGAATATTTATTTAACACGTATGATTCGGTCAATACTGCTTTTTAGGCGTTGGAAAAATAGTCATGTACTTGTGCTTACCTACAATTGTATCTTGACGTGTTCGTAGTCTAAACCTATCGGGTATATTTGTTCTTTTCGTATGTTAAGAGTGCTATGAAAATATCAGACGGTCGGTATAATGGCCAATATTGAATGAACACCAATAAAATTTGTATGGATTGTCTAAATGTATTAGATCCAAATAATGTTTTGAAAAAAGGCTTTATTTACTCACCTATTTGACGTCACCGCAGCAGGTGAAAATACTATCGGAGCAATGGAAAGTGGTGCAAAAGTTCACACATTTTTCATAAAATTGCCAAAAAATGTTTTCAGCTCTACTTGTCCTAGACTGTCTGTCCATCAGCATAAGTTTTTTTTTAATTGCTGCTTCTACTACTGTGACGATTTTCAAGAAAATTTAGTCACACACGCACACATCGCAAGGATTAGTAATCTTAAATGAAAATAGTGCTGCTCAGACATTAGTGTCTTGTTATCGCTACTCCTCTTCAGTGGATCGTGATTTCATCATGGGACTATCTTATCATGGATTATTGTAATATCTTTTCGGTCCTAAATGCAAATGTTGCCAGAATGAAGACCAGAATGCCTGCAATGGAAACGATCTTGAAAATTTTGTTGTCGCTACTCGTCTTGAACGGAAATTATTATCGGCATGGGGTTTTCAACTGAAGATTTTTTACGTTGTCTAGTTAGCCGCGGGTAAAAATGATGCAATCTGGACATAAAAAAATCCAAAGTAGTCATGTTGAAAAGCTTTATATCAATGTTCTCCAGACTGGAGGATCAAAACATGGAGTTTTCAGCAAAAGGCTTTTCATGACGCCTGGTTTGTTGTAAATGAAACTGGTGCCGATCTGACGTCCAATGTGACCATCACAGCTGCCATTTTAAAAATATGGTTATTGTCGCTCCTCCTCAAAGGCAAGATCTGGAAGACTGTTTATTTTGTCTATGTGGTCATCAACAAAATTTACGCAGATCTGATATCCAATATGGCCACCATTGAGACCATTTTAAAAATCTTGTCGCAACATCTCCTAGATAGAAAGACATGTCAACATTGAGATGTCGCCAGAATGCATAGAGATATCTTTTTTGGTATTAAATTAAAATGTTTCTAATCTAGCATCCATTGCATCCACCGTGGCATCACTCGTAAAAATCTTGTTATAGCTTAGCCTCCTAAACAGAAGGTTGCATCGATATGGGGGGGTCCCCAGACGATTCACTGTCATATTCAGATGATTCTGAATAAAACTGGTGCTAGTTTGACCATAAATATGGCTGCCATAGTTAACATGTTGAAAATCTTGTAACTAATTCTTTTATGGTCACATTAACATAGCATTTTCACCAAACATTTTCAAGCGGTGTCTAGTAGGTCTTACAAACAAATGGTTGAGATTTTGAATCGGATATGTCTGTCACGATGTATAACTTGAAAATCTTTGCACTTAATAATATCACATGGTTTCAATACTCAGCAATTAAAAGAAAAACTGCTCTTATCTTAAATTCATACACATTCTTTTCGAAAAGTATTGCGTCATTCACTTCGAGGGATAATTAGTTAGCTTTATTTCAATACATAGAATGAGTTAATTATCGATAATATTCTCACACATAAGACACAATTGCACGCACGCAGATGCACATATCGATCCCAAGGTTTAATTGGTCCTCAGCTAAAATGAAGCTGAGGATATTCAAAATAGCCGAAAAGGAGGCCTTTTAAGAAATCTTATTTTCGCTTCTTCTTTCTAATGTAACGTAACGTAAAGTAACGTAACCTAGCACAGTAGAGCACAAAACCATATCATATTATATCATATATCGTATCATATCGCGTCACATCACATCATATTACAATGATAGACCATTTCATCGTAGTTCTTTTATTGTCTAATCCACGTGAGTGGGAAGCGAGACATAGATGTCACTATAATGGTGGATTGAGCATATTTTTTCAATGTATTTTCTTAAAACGAGTTATTTGCTCATATTTCCTAAACACCGTGATTCTCATTTTACTTGTCATTAACCATTAGGAAAATATTTCTTTTCACGACTTACTCGCATTTTCCTTTGCCATTGGGGTCAATGTCAAAGTCATACAATTAAGGTTTACGGTTATTGTCTTTTCGTCTGCCTATATTGACCTATTTACTTTGATGATTTTTATTAAAATTGTCCTAATTTGTCTGTATTTCGTAAACTCTGACGGATTGTCTTCATAACGCTTATGAATCAATATGAGGCAAAACAAATCATTTTGCGGCATGTTCGCTCAAGTTTTTAATGATGGAGTCAAGGTCACAATATTATGTCATGCTATAATCTTAACCTCGAAACTCATGCTCCGGCCCTTTTAGTTACTTATTTATCTTCTTTCTGTTTGAAAACCGGGTCGTTTTCCTAGAGAAAACAAATATCTCGTTTTCTTTCTATATCGACCCATACGTTTAGATGATCACAAGCAATATTTCATAACAAGGAAAGTACAGGAGAGATGACTGATATTTTCCCAATATTTTATTGTAGCTTTTAAAGGACATTTGTTTAAGCAGATTAAACTGTAGGTATGGTCAGGCTCATTGAAAATAAAAGTTATTTGTAAGCTTTCAATACTCTCTTAATAAAAAAAGTCAGAGCCTATATATACACGGTTGTTCCAGCCAGCCGAAAACTCTCCAAATTTCGTATGCAGTTATGCAATAAACGAGGCATTCATTTTATACAGTATGCTCCTTTTCGGTCAGCCACAGATATAAAAAAAAATCACACCAACAAAACAAAAACAAAGAAAAGGAAAAGGAAGGAAAATAAAATAAATGGGTGCAGGGAAAGAGATACAAAAAAGAAAATATATGTGATCCGGATCCAATAAATCGGTTATGCAATATTCTCAAATTTAGTGACGAAGAAAAGTATCTTTCTACATCACTACCCTTTTAATTTTCTAGCAACAGCTGCCTCGTTAGGTGCTCAGCATTAAGAAGTTAGTGTTAGGACTGGTTGGCCTGGTGTAAGAATAATGTGACTGGCGGGATATCATGCTACATGTCTGTAGCATGCTGCCCTAGTGCTCGACATCGCTATCAACTGCCACACTGCATACATCGTAGCGATATGGCTGAAATTTTTTAATGCTAAGTTAAAAAATCCAAATTACACACACACACACACACACACACACACACACACACACACACACACAGCTTCTAGCCTTACGATAATACCTGACATTCCTCTAGAGTATATCGTCTATAAACACACCCTGCACATATCTTCTTTTTGTTCGTCTTTCGAGTAGACGAATACCACTCTAGTCATCCGTGAGTTGGAGGGGCTGGTTCTGTTCTGTGCGTGCGCAGGTCGCTGATAAGGCCAATTGGTTTGGTTGCAGAAGAAATGAGTGGGACATATCCAGGAGAGTTGTGACACGTGCTTTTCTGGCTTTCCTCTTCAGATCTTCGGCTACTCTCCTGCTAGATTTGCACAGCTTGGAGCCTTTGTGCAGGTAGGTATGCCAATTGACTCGATCGCTGGCTGTTTGTTCCCTTGAATCAGGATTTATGTTGAAAACTATCAATGCAGCTTTCAAATTGTCTTTGAAGCGTTTCTTCTGACCTTAGTGGGATCGCTGTCCTTGCTGTAGATCGCCAGAGAAGAGTCTGTAGGGCAGCCTGTGGTCTGGCATGCGTACAATATGTCCTTCCAAGCAAAGCTGGGACTGAATTAGGATGGTATGGATGCTGGGAAGACCTGCTTGG